ATAGCGGGAAAGGTCTTTCTGAATAGAACATGTATTATTCTCTTGCCCCGATATTCGCTGGCACTAGGGAAGGGGGGCTGGGGGGAGGGGGGGTATAGGCAAACTAACCAGCTTCTTGGTCTGGGTGGCACGGACCAGCCTCTGCACGGTGTAGTTGGCGATGGGATGGGCACACAGCGCCTGCAGCTGTCCTTGGAAGTGCTTCTTATAGAGACGCCGAAGTTGTTTCTTGTCACTGACTTCCAGGATTCTCTCCAGAAGGCGGCTGCTGGTCTCATCCTTCAGGAACACCAGGAGGGAACTGAAGGAAGAAAACAAAAAAACATAAATTCTCGCTCACAATAAACATACAGCAAATGTTTATAATTACAATTACGTAAGAACTCCTCTAATGACTTGCAATGGTTTCTACTTAAATTCGAAGTTTGGCTCCTGCGCATGGCTGAGTAGGCCTGATCCAGAAAACAAACACTTAGCTCTCCGATAATGGACTGAGAACCTTTCCTGCTCTAATGTAACATGAACTAAGTTAGGAAGATGGCAAACAAAGTGTGTGAGGATGTCGGTGCTGCATATTGGCTGCTCTCAGGGGAGATGAACGGGATACTTGGCTGTAATATATATATATCCCCTGTATTAAAAAGGGGATGTATTGCAGGGACAAGTCTATAATTTTGCCACTTTATAGATCATTGGTTCGACCTCATCTGGAGTACGCGGTCCAGTTCTGGTCACCAGTACTAAGAAAAGATGTCCTTGAGTTGGAAAAAGTCCAGCGGAGGGCAACCAAACTAATTAGGGGTATGGAGGACCAGAGCTACGAGACGAGGCTACTAAATTTAAACATGTTCACATTGGAGGTGAGGAGATTAAGGGGGGATATGATCTCCATGTACAAAATGTTTAATGGTGGCAGCAACATTAGCGATAAACTGTTTAAAATTAACTCCATTACAAAAACTAGAGGCCACCACCTAAAATTGGTGGAAAAAAAATTCCAGCACAAGGGGCGAAGGGGGTTCTTCACAGTAAGATCAGTTAGGGTCTGAAACTCACTGCCACAGGCGGTGATTTCAGCAAATAATGTGGAATTGTTCAACAAATTTTTGGACGATTTCTTAAGGG